ATCGGAGTATAACTTGTACACATTTTTTTTTATCACCATCACCATACCCATCATCGTGTGAATAGTGCCACCACCAACCAACGTTCTTAGATTTTTTTTAAGAACGCTTTAAGGAACAGGAAACTCACACAGACATACTGCTTTCGCGGTGAATTTATTTCTATGACACACCAAAAAAATATACAGCATACTTTAACGAAGCAAGAGCAGCTGTACCATCACTCAAGGTTGAGGAAGCACGTTGAACATACGGCCAAGACGAGCATAGTACAGCAGCAAGGAAACATCTATAGCGTTGAATCATGTTCCGCGTGTCTTTTCGATATGACCTCCACCGTTACCTTTCATTCCCCATTTCGTCGCTTCCACAGGGTAGCATTGATTGTCATCGCATGGGTTAAGGTATACGAGCCCAATCGGGACTCGAAAGGCATCGTGTCGAGTGTGCACACTTGAACGCTTGGCAACTCTAGGCACGCAAATGCCCCGTGGCAAAGCTATGGTAATAGAAATAAAGCTCTTCAATACATTGTAAATAAACATTCACGCGTTTGTTCAAGTCCCAAGACGTCTGAAGCAAGGCATAATGGCCTCCTAACAAGCGCTTACTTCGAATACAAGTATTTGTAAGCTCTAAGGAGTGTACACTGAATACGTGCATTCATGCTTGTCCGTATGTTTCACAAAACTTCATGGTTTACGCCTCAAGCGTTACTTCATACGGGACATCAGCGATACATACAACAGTTCGCAGGCTTTGATAGCATTTCAAATCCCATGTCATGGAATCGTTTCAAAAAATTTCGCGATATTTGTTAGTTTTTAGGGGCTTGCTAGAAACTTCACACATGTTTCGCAAGCCACGATGATAGAAGCAAAATGCATATTTTGCAAAAACAAAACAAAAAAAAGCTCGTAATACAGTAAACTCCGAACAAAAGACGTCCTTCAAGTAAAATCGAAACATTCAAGCAACAAATAGACGTGGCATTTATTCACTAGAATTCATATACTTACCTGTGAGACGTCCTGTTAGAGTAAGCACATTCAAGTGTACATATTGAAATCATACGTATACTCTTGGAATAATACGAACGCGGAACACGAAACTCCATATTTAGATGACTTTCGTGCAAGCATAGTGAAAACACCAGTTTGAACAAACACCACGCTAATAAGTATCTTCGCTTTTTTCTGATACGTGAAACAAACCTGGAGGAATTTTCTTGTGTCACAAAGAACACTGGTGTGGCAGAAATATAGTCTTTTTAAAGACGTTGGGCTTAAGGACAGGGAGTAACGTTTACTAACACTGTGTTCACATACGCTCGGGTCATATAGTTGTTGCCTTTCTTTCACAGTTAACGAAACCAGTCACTTAACGACACAATAGACACTGAAACCCGCACAGCCATAAACGCGCGCTGGGTTTCATTTCAGAGGTGGGAGGGGGGGGGGGGGAGCGCAGATTGGTCTTTGCGCGAGCACCCCGCGTGATAGAGAGGATTCACCAACACGCTGCATACCGAATACGAGACAACAAAAAATGACAATAAAAATGTATTTTCTTAATAACAGTGCTTATTTAACTATCTCGATAATAATGTCAACGCACACCCGTTCTCTTTTATTTGTAGCTCATTTAAATGGGGAGGGGAAGTTTTTGCTCACAGGAGTACTTTTCATAACATTTATTAGCTTATTGCGAACAGCTGAATGGTCTTCGTCGCTATATACCCGAAGACACTTATTTGCCCCAGGCACGCAGTAAAACGGGACTATACCAGCCGGAATAACCCTTCAATACACAGTGCACTCATCCCACATGTATATATTATAAGTACACGCAATACCTACGAGTAGCATTCTTCAACAGCATAGTAGCGAGTATATTGCACGTGCTCAGCACAAAACAAGATTCTCAAACGGCAGTCATATAATCGCCCACACTGTTCTCAGTGTACAGAGGTTACAACACTACAGGTAACAACAAACAATTAACTGTGCTTGATGTCTTGAGCTATCTATGGAAAGCATCATTCAGACAGCGAGCTACACGTGCTCTCTCAGACACAAGCACGACGTACACGCCCATAACAGCTTTCCCCGTGTTGGAGCCTAAGCCGCAAGCTGTAACTTCTGTAATGAACGGCAGTACCTGCGCTGGCTTCCTCAACAATCTCGGAAGGAGGCGTGATACATGCGGGACTCCACTAACGTTCGCATGGTTCTTTTTCCGGCGTCTCGTAGCCTTATGTCGATTCTATTACGTCAGCATGGTGTACTCTGATGTAGTAAAAGTAACGCAAATGCAACAAAAAGCAGGAAAGCGATGGCGTTGTTACTTAAAGGTATTCGATAACCTTTAACAACGGACTTTATGTCAACAATTATCTTTGGAGTGCTATTGAACGTTGCTGAAAAAAATATTGCAGTTACGCTCAACCTACTTTTGCCACCCGAACTACGGAATGAACGAGGACAGGCATCAGTCAAACGACGTACCTAATCTCTAACATCTCTCGCTAATTCGAGAAACACAACCTTGTGTTGTGACTAATACCATTTCAGGTCGACAGACACTCTGTGACGAAGAGCAGAAAAGTGATATGCACTGATATAGTGTTGATATGTGAAACATACTAGATGATCCATGCTGTTAGGGTAGGGATATGTCGGAAAGATAACATCTCTGGGGACATCATCTGCGTATAGTTCAAGTCAAGTGTTAGGCCAAGCAAATTTATGACATTGCTTCGGATACACTAACATCGAAGAAACTGCTTGAATGAAGCAGATAATATGCTAGAAAGTTGCATAATACGATAAATCAAGCCAATACAGTTCATTTCACATTTATTATAAAGCATTCAAACTAACGAAAGTGTGTAACTTAAGGAACACAGTGCAGAGCGATAGTTTTCACAAGTATATATGCATCTGAAGTAGCTTTTCGGTGCGATTATAAATGTTGTATATATTCGCGAAGCGCCCGGGCAATATAACCAACAGCGTTCTGCCGTTTGTTGAATTCGTCAAAGCGAGCACTGTGACTACGGAGGAAGAAAGTTTAAGCGGAAAGACAGGGAGGTTAGCCAGTTCTTAGACCGGCTGGCTACCCTGTGCTGGGGAAAGGGGTGAGGGGAATGAAAGATGTTAAAAAGAAATGTTGCGAAGAGAGGGAAAAATTACAAAAAAAAATTGCGACTACGTTTGATACAATGTCTGCACGCCCGATAAACTTTATTTAGCGTGGCGCGCGTATGGACATATCTATATTGATACTATGACTGCATTTTCATCTATATCGCTTTACATTTTCTGAGAAGTGATACATTTAAGTATGGCAGAGGCAGTCACTGAATTTCACATTTCAAAAAAACAAGTTTAGCATCTTCCGTAAAAGTCACTTGACTAAAACGCATTACAACCATCACACGTGGCAGCGTACCGCCACTCTTTAGAGCTAAGCTTACGTTGAAATCCTTCAACGTTGGTCAAAAAAGAACAAAGACATGCCTACGACAGCCACGCAATTAATCTGGTCATCAGTAGATGGGGCGCACTGATATGTTTTTGCTATATAAAACAACGTACATTTTGGCCTGCTACGCAAGTTTCATATAGGCAACTTTAAGATTTGGGCTTTGGGCAACTAAAGTTCAAGGTAATTTCAGGAGTATGTGATAAGTTAGGATGCAACCTAGAGTTAGAGACTCACTGGCGGGTGTAATGAAAAATGTAAAGTACCTATATCATGAAGGATACGGTAGTAAATGCCGCGTGATCAGCAGCGAATTAAGACTCCTATAATGCTTATAAATATCTGTCCGCTGCCTAAACTAAGCCAACCCGGTGAGCTAGTGATTACGGTTTTCACCCAGTTACCCGAAAAACGCGGGTTCAATTCTGGCCGCACCCATAACGAGCAGAGAAACATCCCATTCCACGAACCTCAACCATTTTTGATTTTTGGTGGATTCTAGAGGTTCGTGTACTGTGGGGTTTCAGGATTCATTAAAGAACTCTAGGTGGTTTAATTATCTTGACACCTCCACTATATATGACGTCTTTCATAACCTTAGTCACATTGGGATGTTAACACCGATCAAACCAACGGAACCCCCAACTATGCCTAATATACCCGAGAAGTATTCCACGAGCCCAAGAATGGGAACGAAGCAAGAAATACTGATCTACTGTTCGATGTCCTAGACGAGTAGGCCTTAATATAAGCATATTTTCAGTTTGAAAATTCCGGCGTATTCTAATACCAAGCCTCCCAGAAGCTATCGCTTGACGCCGATCCACGCAACTTGTACGTATTCGTATGAGGCTGTTTGCGAGATTCGTGGCTAGAAAAACATTTATGTCTTGTAACATGGGAGATGGATGATATGCATGCGAAATAATTGAAACATGATATATACTCACTATGTGCAGCTCAAAGACATAAAAACGTGAGACGACACTTAAACGACACGCGTATTTTCTGGTCTTCGCTTCTTTGCGCTGCACGTACTAAGTATATATCAAGTCAAGTACCAAGTAGCCCACCAACGTATTCTTCTATAATTAAGGCATTCATTCATGTTAACATGTTAATCAGTTTTGACAGTACTTAGGCTGATTTTTGTGAAATACTATTTCTCTAGGAATCATATTAGGTGTTTGCTTAGTACAGCGTAGTAATAGGCCAATCGGTGCATTAAGGCGACACAATCGTGGCGTCTTAGCAGCTGCATGTGTATGCACTTTATATCCACCCAAATATCAAAACTGTAGAATTAAAACATGCGTAGCGGACGTGTTGTCCTAATAAACTTGCGTGCGTATTACACAAATAAAGCACCCTGTGCACTGTAGTCGCCTTCAAATACGAAATATGCACCTTTATGTGGTATCTGGCCGTTAGTAGCTTCATGTTTACATTTTCTGCTTCAATATTGACTTGCAGTGTTCACCAATCGTGATGCTCTCTTATTTCGCACTTAAAGACTCATTAGATCCAGTAGAAAATTAAAGCCGGGTAACTTACACTGTAAATAACGAGTAAAAAACACTAAATAATAATTCCTTTCGTTGACGTCGTTACGTTCCATGCCTGGCAAGGCCTCTACCATGCGTAGGCGTCGGCGGCATGCCTCCTACTCGGCTGCGGGGCGAATGAAGAAGTCTTCAACAGAGATGACTTGAACGGGTTGGTTTCTTTTATCGAATCCAGGTCGAAGTCTCTCAGTGCCGTGACGTCCTTGTAGGCCTTCAAGGAAACACGAAGCAAATAAAGGGTCATTCAATCTTCCGGTTTATTACCTTAACTGGCACATTAGCGCAGTTTACAGCAGACTTATAAGGGCACGCAAAGCGCACAGTCGCCGTCGCCGTCACCGTTACAATGCACTGCGACGAGATCGGCACGTGATCGAAGAAAGGTCTTTTCACTTCGGGAAGTAAAGGTGATGGGGATCAGGGGAACGCACCATTACTGGGAGAGAAAATATGAGTGAAGCAGTGAAAGGGAATAATAATAATAATAATAATAATAATAATAATAATAATAATAATAATAATAATAATAATAATAATAATAATAATAATAATAATAATAATAATAATAATAATAATTGTGGTTTTACGTGCTAAAACCACGGTATGATAATGAGAGACGCCGTAGTGGAGGGCTCCAGAAACCTTGACCATCTGATGTTCTTAATTAACGTACACTTACGTCACACACTGTACACAAGCCTCTAACATTCAACCTTCATCATAATGCGACCGCCATGACTGGGATAGAACCCGCGACCTTCGGGTCAGAAGAGAGAGATGAAAGTGTAGACTGTCTAGAGGCAAAGCCAGCACATATTATAGGAGAAAGCCTCTAGCTGCAGCCCAACGTGTAGTGGTGTGTGCCATATGTCTTGCAAGCAATCTGCGGTGAATCCGAACGTTGAGCAAGCGACAGTAATAGGAAGAAGAAGAAACCAGCCAAAAACCACACGAAGAAAGCGAATAGGAACAACCACATAGGACAAGCGCTCGACTTACAACTGAATGTTTAGTGAAAAATTGCGCACACCCCCAACACACGAAACAGCAGCGCATGCGTAAAAAAGGCCATCTGAGCCATGTCGAATTTGCGCACCTAACTGTAGAGAGCAAGAAACGGGTGAAACAACGATAAAATGGAACGCGTGCTTAACAGCTATTGTGTTATTCTTCGGTGTCTTCGTGTGGTTTTTCGCCGGTTTCTTCTTCCTAGCCTAAAGCTACGTTACCAATCAACAGGGGCTAATTGCTTCGCGTGCAGTCTCTTAGGTACGAGTATTCAACACTAAATCACGAAGAGATAACTATTTTAAGGAGAGAACTTAGAAACTTGGAGGTCGCTTGAGCTTCGCCTTCAAGAGTAGAACGCGATGGCGTAATTGGACATCATGCACACAGATTCAATCGCAAGCCTGCCTTCACTCCTCGGTGGACGCCCAAAGCGTACGGCAAAGGAACTAAAACCTGTGCGCGTAACACTGGCTCTTTCAAACTACCCTAGCATGCTTGCCGCAAGTATATACAGTTTCTAATAGCTCTCTACGCCATAAGTGTTCCTTATTGCGAATCGGCAAAGTCCCCTACTACGTGTCCGCATAGAGCACCATGCGCACCTGCGCACTTTGTTGGTGTTGTTGCTGATCGCCATGGACAATCATGCCTGAACGCATTGTATTGGGTGGCCCTGCAAAACACACACTCGTTGCGCAGTTCGTAGGTTTTGACGCCTGGCGCGATCGTGCGCTTCTGCCCAGGCCCGTAGCCAGCAATTTTCGTTTCGGGAGGAGGGGGCGGGGACTTGTTGAGAGCCTTAAAAACACTTATTTGTATTTGTCCTTGGTAAAACACCTCTCTCCATTCAAATTTCCGGAGGGGGGTGTTTTTCCGGAGGGCAACTCTCTTGGCTACGTGCCTGCTATAGCTACGGGCCTCCTACGGCTGTGGGCCCTGACCACAGAACATTGTTTTTTTTAGCAGCTCTTCTAAATAGCATGGCATTGTTGTAGAACGCTTCGTTGCCATGTAGATTGCCTGGGTTTGATTTTCACTCCAACAGAAAGTTTTTGTCATTTATTGCAACTTTCTCGGTTTCACACTCACGGAGACCGCCGATTTTTCGCTCATAACCAATGACGCCGACACCAACACCGGAATTTCTGCGAAACGAAATTGTTAACGCGTTCATGTTGGAATTGCACAATGTTTAATAGGTTAAGCAATAAAAATGAAAAATAGAATCTACTCACTTCGAAGTCCTTTCTGATGTGATCGAACTGATATGTACTGTCGGGACTGACAGCCTGGGCCATGATTCCTTTAGGATTAAAGGCAGCTGCCAGAGAAGCCCGGCCATAGCTGCTTCGGCTTAGTTCTTCCGGTGAGTGCGCTTGGTTTAAAGTGTTCGTCTTGTATCCCCACTGATCTGAAAAGCAAGTGAGGATTTATATATATATATATATATATATATATATATATATATATATATATATATGTGTGTGTGTGTGTGTGTGTGTGTGTGTGTGTGTGTGTGTGTGTGTGTGTGTGTGTGTGTGTGTGTGTGTGCGCTCTAAATTTTCCAGAGATGTGCAAGCTGTTTCGAAATAGTGCTAAGCGGGCCTGTCGGTACGTACACAGAGGTATTCCAAACAGCGCAAAAATAGGACACAGGACACATCATTGTTTGGTTTTTTTTCTGTCCCATTTCTGCGATGTTGGGATAACAATGAAAAAGCTTGGATTTCTACAGTGTGGGAGAAGCGTCAAGTATAATGAAGAAGTTGGCTTTTATGCTGCTGCCACTGTCCACTTTAAAAAAAAGAAGTTGAAGAAAAGCCATTCACTCAAGCTAGACCAAGCATGGCGTAAGTCAGGGCCTGAGGCATCTTGGTTTGCCACACAGCCACATTTCGACCGTAGGCCTCAAGAAGCTTTCTAGGCAGCTACTGGGTTCAATTCAGGCCGGTCTGGTTGTGTGCTTCTAATCCCTATTCAATCATTAGCTTGTGTCTACCACCAGACCAACTGCACGACGTTAGTTTACTAGCTACAGCTGAATAATGCTACATTAGCGCATAATGTCCCATTTTCTTTTCTTTCTTTATTTTTTGCCATCAAGCTGGCTCGGAAATTAAAGGAGGATGTGGAGAATGGGGGAGGATAGATAGATAGATAGATAGATAGATAGATAGATAGATAGATAGATAGATAGATAGATAGATAGATAGATAGATAGATAGATAGATAGATAGATAGATAGATAGATAGATAGATAGATAGATAGATAGATAGATAGATAGATAGACAGACAGACAGACCTTGTGGCGTGCGCGACAGATCTGTCTGCGTTAAAAAGCACGCTTCAAATATTTGGCAACACATGTAGGGGCGAGTTGGTCTACCAGCTTAAATATCGTAGCATTTCGGTATCTGCCTGTGACCTCAATAACGCAGCGATCTACGCTATCGAAGGATAAAAGAACGATAAACTTAGTTTTTCCCTTTGTTATACTTTTTGTAGCATATCTTTCGCCGCCACCTTCTATCCCCCTTTCCCCTTCCCCAGAAAAGGGTAGCCGGCTGGTCTGAGGACTGGCTAACGACTCAGCACATCCGCCTATTTTTTCCTCCTCCGCTTCCTCCTTTTCGTTAGAAAGGAGTGCCTGCTGACCTGGCTGACTGCTGTTTCGAGACCCCTGGTTTCCTCCTCCACCTCCAGGCACGCCGAGGAAGCCACCAGGACCCTGTGTTACGCTGGCGTCCGGCTGTTGTGGTTGCTGCTGGCCACCACCCTGCTGCTGGCCGTCGCCGAGGTTTTGCTTGGACAGCGATCGCGCCATCGGATTGGCCGGGACGCCATGGGGTGCCAGGTGTGACGTCTCCTCGACCACGAGGTGTGGCTCGTCTTCATCCTCGCGGAAGGCAACGAAGCCTTTGTCCTTGCGGTAGTAATTGACGAACACGAACCCGACCAGGACTAGCAGGCACGCGAAGCCGTAGCCACGGAAGGTGATCTGAGTGCCTGCGGGGTTCGAAGGAGGTTTTCGTTTAAAAGTGCCTTCAGCCTTTCAGGGCTTGTCCCTGCTCATGGTATCCTATGGAATTATTACGATAAACGTTAAACAAGACACACTGTTATACAACCACATTCTACGGCCGCATACAAACTATGGATCGCCGCTACTACAGTATTGCATAACCAATGTACTGCGCAAGTTCCAAATACCAGATGGCAGTTCACGTGTAATACCTGCCAATTCTATTTTTGATATGGTGCCTTTGAATGTTTTGTGACGTGAGGTCAATTTGGCATCTTGAGTGTTTCTTACGTTTTTAGATCTTGCATAGTGACTTCAATTTTGCCTGTCACAAAAACGTTTTGTACCACACGTTGCTGCATTAGTACCATGGGAGTGGCGAGGCTAGTTACGCTGCAGATGTTGCAGTTTTACCAGGCAATTTTCACCATGAATGGTACATTCCTGCTTTGTTTGAAGTATAGTGGTGAAATAAACCAAATATCAAAAGGATTAAAGGCGTGATACTCTATTACTTTCCATGAAACTACATCGTGGAGCAGGAAGGGCTTACTTACATCTTCAAGGGCCAACCTAAACACAGCGGCACACGAACGAGTTTTCAATCTTTGTGCGAAGCAGCTACTAGTTTATCCCAGCTGCGCTAAGTGCCGAACCATGCCGCTATGTGACCATGGGTTGACCTGTCATTTCTGTATAACCATCCACACACACACATCGATGGCAGAACAACCCTTACGTGCAAATAAGTTAAATTTAGTTGTAGAAATAATGGGATACAATGGTGAAGTGAAGGGCGTTGCGCAATGTAGCGCTGTTGCACAACAGTGCATCGACCACTGCTCCCCCTGTAACGTGCGTCTCTACGTCGCATCGCCCCATTGCTTTTGCAGTTCACCTTCACCTGTATCGAGTCGTTGCCGAGCGCTCTTGGGAGGATACAGCTACCTATTTTAATTTGAAGCATCAAACGACCCTGTAAAGGGTGTTAATGTGGACAAATTTAGGGCTTCACTTTCAAACATATCGTGAAGGAGAGGGAGAAGAGAATAAAGGAGAAATTGGTAAGGTCATTAGAAATCTCCGGTTTGCTACCATTTACTTGGAAAGCACAAGGACAGTGTTGACTAGAGGTACATGGGAGATGCCTTTGCTTTGCAGTGGGCGTTATCAGGCTGATGATGATGATGATGATGGTGATGATGATGACGATGATGAAGATAATGACGATGACTTGGACAGAAAAAAGAGGGTGTAAAATAACGAAAAATAAAAAAAAATTTGTCACGACATCAAAATGTCATTATCATAGCATTGTTCAAGTACGACCCACCAACACTCTCTGTGAATGATAAGTCACAATTTGTAGTTTTGTACGATTTTTTTAGAAACCGCAACATCACATTCGGAGCGGGTCGCGTTGCGTAACAGGTATGTCAGGTGCCCTAGGACCTCCAAAGTTTGCCCATAAAACGTACATACAAGGTGAGAAAATAATTGCGCACCGAAGTAGTTGACGAATATTCCTCCAATAACGGCTCCGCAGCCTCGGCCGAGTCCGTGGTGAAGACCCTGCAGAACTCCCTGTGCCGATGACCTCAGGTTCGCGGGCGTTGATTGTGTGATGTAGGAGCAACAGGCAGCCCACACAGCCGCATGCGTTACTCCTGCGGGAAGAGGAACGACACGTGGTCTACATGGTCACTGACGAAACAAACGCACGAACGTGCGTATGAGTGAATGTGCGCGTGCACACATACAAACACACAGAGATGCAGAGAGAGATAAAAAAACACACATGCACGTAATAACATGCGCACACTCACATACACAAACACACAAAGTCTGCATAAGACGTCGGTATAGCTACAACCTGTCCAAGCAAAACGCAGAATGACTACAATATGGAAATGAAATATTATCTCGTGGTAAGACGGAGGACTTATTTCTGCAGAGTAGGTCCAATTATTTCTTTGCATCTCGTTTATTGAAACTAGATGAAGAAGGAAACTAATTTACGCGTAATTTAATGTACGATTGTCACGCCTGCCCTCCTCAGCACAAAACAATGCTACGTTTACGAAAGCCCACCCCGACTCTCCGAATATGTCAGAGACCAACTTTGTTTTCGCACAGCTATGGCGGTCCTGAGTGATCTGACGCTGGCAAGATTATTGCCTTTCAAATCCGCGATAATACGTGGCAATTTCAAGTGTGCGGTCGGTGTAATCACCACGCTATAAAGGCCCGTCTGGGTCTCTGTCCGAGGTGGTTGCCTCTATCCGTGGTGTCGTAAACCATAAAGAGCGTCGGCCACACAAACATCTCTTCTGGTGCCATCGCTTAGGGTGATGCTCGGCTTTCTCTTTTCACTCTTTGCAATTTCTTTTCTGGAGCACTAAAATCAGCCATCAGAAAAATTGGGACGCAAAGGGAGAATGCCGGAATTCCGGTGCGCAGCCAAACATCTACCTTCATTCCCTCGCATCAAGTGCCGTCACCTGTACTCTCTCCGTCATTCCCTCACCCGCTTGTTTTCCTCTTTCCCTCTTTCTTCTCCTCTCTTCTGAGAGTGCACTTTTAGGCCTGTTTGCTTAGTTCTGACCTGTTCTTTAGGAATCCAGGCTTCCCCACAAAGCAATAAAGCTAAATGCGCGTCAGAAAATAGGAAAGAAGTTCGAGACTTAACTGAGAAGAGGCAGAACTAGCAAATGGGGCAAGGTGACCCTTTGTTGTATTCTTCTTCTATTTATTTTCTTGCTTAAAGACGGGTACGATTCGCAGCAAGAGTACCATCTTCGTGTTTCTTGGCAACTAAAGCGCACGAGAAGGACCTGTGATCGTGCGTGAGTCCAGCACATGGCCGCATCATCTTTACGCCCCATTTGATTTCCTTTACACACTAAAACACTAAAAAACACTATATATATATATAAATATACAGTCGGGAAGCCTTTTCAGGTTCAAGCTACCCGTCAGTCTCAGTCATGGCCCTATTTCTCAAAATACGCATCAAGGAAGATAAAAAAAACGGGGGGGGGGGGGGGGGTTATCATACCATGTGTGTGGATATAATTGAAATGGTGCGATGATGACAACACAAATTGCAAAAAAAAAAAAAACTGGCGACTTGCAAAGCAGCTCCCAGGCTCTGCAGGGTGGCAATTGGTTGGCCACTGTTTCGCTTGCGGCGCCATTTTGTATAAGTAGGAGATCCTCGAGCCATTTTCTGGGCGTTTGGCGCTTTTCCAGGCACGAGGCTCGTTATTAAATCTTTCAGCCAAGTTTTATTTCGACCGCTCGTGCTTCAGTCACCCGTGGGGGCGTACCATACGGCTAAGTGGCATTGACTTTTTTATGAAGAAAAAAAAATGCCATTTTCGCTTGGCACAGCCACACAGGAAGCTTACTCGAGCTTTCTCTGAAGAGTGCCTTTTTCGTGCATTTTTTTGTCGCCATTAGTGTCGTTTTTTGCCTTCTCTTTTGGTATTATGATTTCACTGTGTACAGTTGTGTGCAGTGTGATGAAGGCATGGTAGCCATCATCACTATTAAATGCGTTGGAAAGACCTCTAACTGCTTCTTTTTCTCTTTATTTTGAGGGGGTAAGGGAAGAAAAAGCAGTTGGGTGGCCGGGTCATAGCTAGGCTGCCTTCCATAGAGTGCTTTGTTGTTGTTGTTGTTTCTCTGTGCAAATGCTCTTGCCCAAAGGAGGGGATTGGCCGATTAAAAGTGAATTTGCCCTATACTTTCAGCATTGCGTCATTCCTACAAAACATTTGTAATTTAATTTTGATTTTAAATTCTGATAGCAATTTTGCAGAAAAAAAATAAAGAAAAATAGTGAGACCATAATTTAGCAAGAAAATCGTTTAGTCGCAGTGATGTATTCCTGAACGGCGAATAAAAAACATCACTGTGGCTGAAACCCAGTGTAGAGGCTCCAAATGAAAGAAGATCAGGTTGTGATAATCGCAAGCCCAGTCTTTGAAGAGGTGGTGCTAGTATTCTTTGCCTGAATAAATCAAAATGGCGACAATGTAATAAAAATGACTGATCGTTTCCTCTTGATTACAGTAAATGCACATAGGGGAATTCAATATACCTGATCTATGCAAGTAAAAATTGAGGGAGGTAACGCGGCAACGAAATTTCGTGATGACAACTTCCATCATCCCTGAATTAGACAGTTCACTGCGCTTGAGAAATAACAAGTGGTTGTACTCCGGAGAAGCCGTCAGTGCAGGGTCTGATAAATTTTGCTTGCTTTTAAGTGTGCGAATCGCGCCACCGTAATGTGTACTGTATGAGGGAAAATACGAATGATGGGTGTCGAAAGTGATGCCTTCGCAAGAGAATCAGCTATTTCGTTTAACCACAAACCTTTGTGCCCTGGTGCCCAGATTAAATGAATACTTCGAGATGACAGGGAACCAATGATTTAAAAAGTTTCAGTATGGGTGAGCGGCTGAATGCGGACCGAGAAGAGTACACTGATAATGAATCAGTTATGACTGCTACGACTGGAATGTAAATATTTACCTTTCGCAAAGCTAAGATTATTGCCATAAATTGAGCCAGAAAGACAGGAAGAAAATCTGGTAAGCAAAGCGAAAATGACTAATCAAGTACGGGACAATATATCCCAACGCCTTATTTTTCATTTGATTGAGATGCGTCCGTTGCTATAATGACATTTGTTGGCAGAGTACTTAAATGGTCCTGCAATAAACCATTTAAAATGCCTGTAAGTAATAGTTTAGCGTGAGTTGGGAAGATATCATGGTAAACAATTTCTGGAGAAATTTGTTGCTCAGTGAAAAGAATCAGATCACGAACTTTTACATTTAGAGGCTCAAGTAACGATTGAACAACTACTATTTGTGGTTTGTGAAATCTGGGCCAATGCACGGAGAAGAATAGGTCAGGATTGGAAATAAAAATAATTTGTTCAGGGTTAAACGGTGCTTCATATAGTCGTAAAAAGCTCTGCGCAGTAAGAATGTTAAAGCGACATAATAGGGATGGTATTCGTGCTTCAAGGTATAACACTGCATTTGCAGTATACTTTGGAAGTATTAAGCAGAGCCATTAAGCCTCTCTTTTCAATAGAACGAGCGGCCGAAGTTTGTATGGTGGCGCACCAGAAAAAAGAACGCAGCCAAACTCTAACATAGGTCGGACATACATTTTATATATAATCAAAAGTGCCTTCCTTCTCATACCTGATCTACAATTGCTCAACCTCCGCGATACGCCCATCGCGCGTACTGCTTTTGTCGCGATGCATTCAATGTGAGGGCACCAGTTTAGATGTTCATTATACATAACTCCAAGATATTTCAATGATTGCTTTACAAAGAGTGCTCGTGTGTCTCCTCTTCGTTTTTGTGTGCCTGCACAAACACTTCGAGATGATCACATAGGGTGTATTAGCAGTTAAAATTTTTTACGCTGTTTGTTGCAGACGTATGAAAAGGATAAATTTTTGAGTAAAGTTTAACGATTTTATTTCTACGGAAAATTCAGCTGGCCCTGCGTGGTTTAGGTACTATACCGAATAATTCTCGCTACTGTTTTTTTTTCGCAAAAAAGGCTACGATCGCACGAAACAATGAACTCGAGTTTGGTTGCGTTGAAAATCTCGGGATTGATTTCGCCGACCGTCAAGGAACCCACCACGACACCGCCACAAGGAAAGCTTTATTTTAGTGGACAAGGAACCAAGGCTTGTGACTACCAATTAAACATGATTTCAACGTTTCATGAAGTTCAAACATGAACTATCACCAACTCGTCCAACTTTCAAGCTTACTAAATAAACTTGTAGTTTTATGAACGTGTTATTTGCAACTTCTGCGCGTTTGTCTCTTCTCTTGTGTCCCGGTAGATCGCGCTCCCAATATTTCATTATGAATATATACCAACTAGCCCGCCTATGAACCCTTCTGCAATTTTACATACGCTCTTCCCCTCTAATTCATTCATTCATTCATTCATTCATTCATTCATTCATTCATTCGTATCGAATAGTTGAAATGCTTTCAACATATGTGAATATCTTGTTTTTTTGTTTAGATGAACAGGCCTGATGGAGAAGCAACTCTAATAAATCGACGCGTCACCTTTTCTTAAACTTTGGCTGTCTGCGTATGGCCGCCATACTATCACATAATGTGGCAAACAAAAAAAAAATACAAGGAATACGAAAAGAGCATCACGCGGCGATCATCAGAATACGGCGCTGCCTCCTCCAGGACACTATGCTTCTAGATTTCGCCCAAAATTCAAGATGCCCGCAAAAAGAAAAACACAACGCACCTAGAACAAAAGCGAAAGCACCCGGCCGTCTCATTTCCCATCCCGCTATTCTACCTCGAACACAAAAGAGAGTGGCTGAAGAGAGGCGAAGTGAAGAGCCCACTGATGGATCTCTCGCTGTAGGTGATCGGATTTCGGTGACTGGTGCCGCCGACCGCAAACACCGAATAAATGCATGGCCTTGATGCGATCGCCATGGATATTCCCAAGCTGTTCGCTCCTTGAAAAATGCACTATTATGCACGGATCACAATAAACTTACAATTAATTATGCGGCATTCGTAAGCCGTGGATGGTTTTCAGATGATAACGAGCTCATTTTTCGGGAAAGGCGATATTCAAGTTGTACTTGTAGATTAATCGAAGGCCCAGCAAACGCGTCATATATATATATATATATATATATATATATATATATATATATATATATATATATATATATATATATATATATATATATATATATATATATATATATATCGTGGTACATTGGTTGAAACCTACAAAAAACCATAAAATATAAACATACACGATTTTCGCAAATGTATCACAAGGCTTCTTCGGCCCCGCAGTTCTCCCCACCCTTACAATGTGTTGTGTGAAAGATATATCGATCCTAAATTGTCTGCGTGCCTCCGGATTTTTTCGAGGTTGAGACGTGGATGTCTAAAAATAACTTAAAACTAATACTGATATAACGACCTCTGAATACAATGGATCAAGAAAAAAAACGCGAAGGAACGAGCGTTTTCATCCTTTGAGAAGAGTTGAAATTGAAGGCAGAGGCAAAGGAGAAATAGGAGAATAAAAGTAAGAAAAAAAAACGATGGTTCCCGATTGTGATGTGGCCGAGTTCGTTGCCTTGGTTACGGTGCAGGAGGCTTTGCTGCTGAGTACCAGAGTCTTTCTTTGTCCGCGTCTTCTTTTCAATTCCATTTTTCTCTTCTATTCTTACGCAGAAATTTTTTTTTTTGCATTTAAGAGACAATCGAAGGAGGAGAACGTCGTGCGTTCGAATCTTTCACAATAAAATTAAACGAGAAAGTTTTAAGTTTTGATTAAGAAATCGGGGACTACCTTCGGCGAAATCTAATTACTCACGTTTGTTTGAAAAAGAAAAATTCGGATGGCAGCAGTATTAAAAATGCGAGCATGTAACGTAGTCAAGGCCTGAGACACTGCAAGCGCGTTGTCTTCGTATACTTGTATACGTTGCACGATCGTATTTAAAATAATCACGAATTATGAACTCACTCAATTATCTATTTTGACAAGATGACAGGAGGTCACAGAAGCAGTAAGGCGGGATGATTCACGTAACCTCTAGGCACGGATTCTTCGCAAAATCAATTTGAGGGAGAAAAACGACTCCAGTTTTACTCAATGATTGCCCAGTATGCTCCGATGTCGATAACAGAGTAACTACCAACGTTCCTAAAGAAACATTGAATAACAATAAAGCACAATCTTCTTTTTTTTAAGGGGGGGGGGGGCAACTTAGAATTGACTTCTGAGTCAACATGCAATTCCAACGGGACTTCCAAAATGTTGGCCTTAAACGTTTTGCAGTTTTAAACAAAAACAGGCTATTGACAAAAGTATTGTGAACTTGGGCAAGCTTGTGATCAACTGGTGCACAAAAGTGGCGTAATTTAGAAGGACACTGTTAAGCGACATAGCTCTTTACTTAGGCGAGGGAATTTAACCGTTGTAAAATAGTTCGACTACATCCTTCGATGCAATAGAGTAAAAGTAAACAAATGTTTTATTGCGATATGTACGCGCATTGAAAATTTGGCTAGGAATTATTTGGCTCTTAAATTTTAAAATGCTCGTTATTTTTTTAAGTTTTCAATTTCTTCTTGGATTAAGCGTTTGTAATTTGGAAGCTTAAACGTTGAATACACGGACGCAGGGCAAACAAAGAGCGTTCTGTTCTCACTTTTGTTTCAGTGTAAAAATTGATAGATATGTGGGGTTTAACGTCCTAAAACCACCATATGATTATGAGAGACGCCGTAGTGGAGGGCTCCGGAAATTTCGACCACCCGGGGTTCTTTAACGTGCACCCAAATCTGAGCACACGGGCCTACATCATTTCCGCCTCCATCGGAAATGCAGCCGCCGCAGCCGGGATTTGAACCCGTGACCTGTCAGTCAGCAGCCGAGTACCTTAGCCACTAGACCACCGCGGCGGGGCTTTCTGTATAAAAAACCATAGTGTATACACCTGGTATTTAGAAGCAACTTAACAGAGGAGTTTAAGGTGTTGTGTTCCTATTTTTTTTTCAAACTTTAGTTTTACAACAACAACATACAACAGCGACGACAATATGATCTAGTGCACTGACCTTGAATGAATTCGAAGGGCAGCACCCACCAGGGGTTCTTCAACCAGGAGATGTAGAGGAATCGGCATACGTTGCCGACGAGCCCGACACAGAGCACCTGTCAGACATGAAAAAATGCGATATGCATCGTCACATTTTGTATCTCTAAAGGCAAATTCACATATGCATGCACACGAAAAGCCTGTGCAAGATTACTGCACCACCCTAGCAATGCATTCCTGATTGCCATTAAGGCACGATGAATATCATGATTATGTAAAAATGTTACATTGAATATATGACAGTTATTGGCTGATGATACTCGTCAGTACACATGCTGTACGTACACAGACTGCGGGGTCTTCCTCGAATGGCCGTAGCTCTCCCGGTCGTGTTAATAATCATGTTAATAAGAATAGTGGGCAACGAGGTGGATGGGCACAGTGGCGAAAAACTTTAGGTATACGGCAACTCTCGTCTTCAACAACATCGATACGTAATTAAACGTAGTACGTAGGCAAAAAGTTTAACCGGTAGAATTATTTCTAAAATAAAACTGAAGAGAATGTCTACAACATATAAAGCTGGAAGTCGGTGACATGTTCACTGTCGGTGAAGACCACGAAGTTACCGCTGTTTCAGTGCGTGGAAAAAGCACGATATACTGGGGAACGTACAAAAAATCTGAAAGGTGGGCAGATGTTCAGAGGGTGATACTCGCTGCATATACAAGGACCGTCTGTCACGGGTCCCGTTAATTAGGGAGGCGATCGCCGGGCTAATTCCAAGGGCCGAAGTATCGGCCCCCCCGAACCGCACCACGAAAGCGTGGACAATTTAGAAGTGGTCCTTTTTGGCGCGCCAGCGGACGCCGGCTGTGGCCCAAAGAACAAGTCAGAGCCGAGAGTTGATAAACAAACAAAATTATATTTTCAATAATGGCAGACCGAAAACAATACATAAGTATGCAGACTCCATGATAGTTCAGTTGATAGTTGAGTACAATATGTCACCGATCAAACAACGTTCTACACAGTACAATCAGCCACACTCAAAATAACGGACGCAGACAAGAATACACACTACAATGCAGTCGCATGCATTGAACAACCAAGACACTTAAAGACTAAAGAGATAGAAAACCTATTCAGTCCAAAGTTCTGGGAACAAAAGTCTGGATGATACTCTTCCAAGAATCCCTCACTCAAAGTCCAGCGTTGTTGTCGTTCCGCAGCCCCCTGAAGTTTCTCTTCCAGGAAACCTCGCCGAAGTTTCTCTTCCAGGAAACCTCGCGTCTTCAATCGGCCACTCTCCAAGCTTCAAACTTCTTCGCCGGAAACACGTCGGCTTCACACACGCAGCTGTTGCTACGCGTCTTCGCTCGATAGCGGTAAACACACACTCTTGCCTGTAGCTCGAGCCTTCACCCCTCAGGTGGAAATCATCTTCTTCTCCTGCTTTGTCTCTACGGACAAAACCTTCGCTGACTACACGGCGGAATTCCTACGCGCTCTGGCGCTAACTTCCGTCTTCTCCTGATCTCTCATCTCCGCAGCTCGGTTAAATACCTTCCGCGCGACATTCCAGAAAGTTCTTGTCATTTCGTCGGCGCGATACGCAGCGAAGGCTGGGGAGAGGCGCGAGACGGTACGAGGGCCGTCCCCGACAGATGACTCAACCCGGCATAACACGCCTCTTTCCTTCTAGAAATTTCCAGTGCTTGCTCGGCCGCCGATGTGGTGTGAGGAGGTTCGTCGGCGAAGCCACGCTTCCGAGGGGAGAGCGTCGCGCGCCCGGGGAGCCTTTAGATGTTTGTTTTCTTTTTTTTTCGTTGACCTCGCGGCGTCACTACGGCGCGTTATCGCAAGAATTTGGCGGCGCGCCCATTTTGAGCGGTCGTTCTGTGACACCGTCCCCGTTTTTTTTTTTTGAATTTGCCCAACAAATTGTTTTCTTCACGTTTTCGTCACTTTATAGTGATTCCGGCAAGTCAGAAAAGATTTTGATTAATAGCACTCCCAAACATTAAAGAGGCTTATGATAACGTGCACAAGAAATATTGTATTATATAATCAAGCCCAAGCACGTAACTGCTGTCAGAGACGTACAGTGACAACAAAGTACAGGATTTTTGTCGAAAATACAAAAAATTAGTGCAAATACACAAGCTCAGAAGCAGTGGTGCCCACTGTCTCCACTATTCCTGACGATGTACGTTAAAGACGCAGAACAACAACACTGTAGGAACGGTAAAATTGGACATAGCTCACCTTGAATAAATGACGGGTAAATGTTGAAGAGTGATCTCGGGACACAGCATTGGCAACTGATAATGGAAAAGTCTTACAGACACAAGCAAATGCGTCTCGCATTATAAAACTACATAGCTGTACCTTAAGCGTAGCATATGGATGTCAGAAATTCTAGCTTTTAATAAAGAAGTAAGCGATAATGTGATACAGATGCAACAGCTGGTCATGCCTATAGTGATTAATTGTAGGTATCAAGGAGTGCACAAAAATGGAGTATTACGTAAGTATCCAAAAGATAACGGCAGTATAATGCGAAGCAGAATGAAGAATGAACCGCAACACTTTGTACTTACAGTAAATGTGAAATTGAGCTTGAAATTTGCAATCAGCTCATGCTACCACCTATCATTAGCATTCGTAAATGCAGGTCCTCGTTTGAAATCGGCATTTGATTTCAAATCGAGGTCATTTGCTTCGAAGATATTCAAAGATAGGTAGCACGTTTAACATTGAAATCCTATATAAAGGTTCCAAATGAGGCAATGCGAGGCGACAAGTGCTGTGCTCCTTGCTGAAGTGAAACCAGCGCAGGGCAAACTTACTTTGGTAAAATGCTAAATGATGTGGCTAAAAAAAGGGCAAGTGAAATACACAAATATTTGCACGTAAATATTATGTACATGGGTTGAGACAGATATCAAGTTTGTAACAACTTGCATCGTAATTGAAAGTGAAACAGACCACCAGAAGTCATCAGACTATAAGGGACAGAAACAATGGCGATATATTGAATGTGATTGAGATAATGAAAAAATAAAAAAAAAACACAGAGTAATAATCTTCGTCAGTGTTGTTAGACCTGCAGATAGCTTCGCCCTTTTCATATGACTCTATTTCCTCTAAACCACTCGAATATTGCGTCCCCCTAAATCCTGACATTACATTTAAGCCTGTGAAGAGCCTATATCCGAGCGCTGTGTACGCTATGACGCGGCACGGAGTCTTTTATTGCTTCGTCGAAAGTCAAATAAAATTTAAATCGTCAGAACTCTTACGCGCAGCCTATAACAACGGAATTGTCTTTCGTTTTTGTTCTTTTTTTACAGTTTCTTAGGTTTAAACGCACTTTATGCAATCGAGAAAGTATGACTACAAGTACAGAACATGTATCCTAAAACTGTGTTCGCCGAGCACACTTGATTCTTATCGTTTGAAGTCATGAAGCAGTCCTAATAGCGATGAACACAACCTTTTCAAATGGCCCCCAAACTACAAGAACAAGCATGATTGCGTACGGAAACAAACTCCTAAGACAAGTTGAATGAACCAGCATTAAAACTAGAGCCATGTGAATGGCACTCAAAACAAACGACAGCTTGAACATTTTACTTGGAACTGTTCCAAGAGAATGAAATGAAACCATTGAAAATCACAGACGTGCATAGCGTATATGAGCACATGCGACCGGCCCTCCATGACATATCTTTGAAACGACATGTACCATCATCGTCATCATCATCAACAGCCTGACTGCGGCCACTGCACGACAAAGACCTCTACCATGTTTTGCCAGTCAACTCGGTCCTGTGCTTGCTGCTGCTACTTCATACCCGCAAATTTCCTAATCTCATCTGCTCACCTAACTTTCTGTTTCCCATCACCCGTTTACCTTTTCTGGAAACTCAGTCAGTTATCCCGCCTTCGAGCTACGCGCCCTGTTCATGAACACATCTTATAGATTTCGAGCATGATGTCCTTGACACCAGTTTGTTTCCTTACCCACTCTGCTCTCTTCTTGTCTCTTGAGGTTACACTTACTATTTTCCGTTCTATTGCTCGCTGCGTGATATGTCCACCTTGTGGAGCCTATGACAACCCGACGTACGCCTTGCCGTCCCAGGAATAAGAAATAGAGAAGTTATTTCTATTTTGGCCTTGAAGCAAGCAACTCTGGACTGTTTGCACACCTTCGACGCTGACAGAATCCACGTATACACGGAAGGATATTCCAGCCAGACTAGCTCCACCAGCGCCACCATCATCCCATTGCGACACATCAGCATCACGTACAAACTTTGTCACGTAAGCACATTGAGTGGTTCGGAAATTGTTGCCCTGCGAGGTGCCACCGATCATATCAAGCAACAACCCGCTAATCGTTGGGCAGTATTCTACGACTCCAAGGCGGCTCTGCGATGTCTTTTGTCGGCACTTCGTCGCGGGTCGTACGAACAACTGGTGTGGGAGATCAAAGAAATGCTGCACTATGCGACCGAACATGGACACAACGTTGTGTTCCAGTGGATACCAAGTCATTGCGGTATCTCCGGTAACGACCTCGCCGATGAAGCAGCCAGGAATGCACATGTACAAACAAACCCTGTTTCCACAGCTTTCTCTAGGATTGACTCGGCTGGATACCTAAGTAATCTGGCGCGGAACGTGACAATCTAGAAGTGGCAGTCAACACAGTTCGCACATCATCGACTGTATTCTCTCGAGCCATCTCTACGACTGCAGCTACCCTCTGGTCTTTCTAGGGAAGAAGGTACAGTGTTGTGCCATTTGCGTTTGGGCGTAGCCTTCAGGAATGCCTACTCATTTAAGATGGGTATGGCTGACAGCGCGGAGTGCAATGACTGCGCCATCGATGAGACTATTGAACAACTTTTATGTTACTCCCCGGCATACACTACCGAGAGGTTTCACCTGCGCAGTATCTTAAATCAAGTGAACAGAAGTGATTTCACTGTCGAGAAAGTATTGGGACCATGGCACTGCCCAGCTCGATCCCGAAAGGCAACGAAAGTGCTGATGCGTTTTCTCAAAGACACCGGCCTGTTTCATCGTTTGTGATGTGACACTGTTAAGCGTCGGCCCAGTCAGTCACCTTTTTTCTTCTCCTCTATAACTGTCCTTACCCCTCTCCCTTCCCCAGTGCAGAGTAGCCTACCGGGGCTCAGCCCTGGTCAACCTCCCTGACTTTCTCCTTATGTTCTCTTTCTCTCTCTCAACTTCAGCTGAACCCTCTTTGTAAGCCTCCAGGTTTCTGCTCCATAGGTAAGTACCGGCAATATGCAGCTGTTATATACCTTCCCCTTAAGGCAGAGTGGCAATTTACCAGTCATTATTTTAAAATGCTTGCCGAATGGGCTCCACCCCGTTTTTATTATTCTATAGTTACTTCGATCTCGAGCTTTGGCTGCGCAGTTGATATCTGTCTTAAGTAGACTTACTCTTTAACAACTTCAAGTGTGCCGCTACCTATCTCAAAGCACTGTCCTCTTCCGAGGTTGTGAATTACTTGCGTTTTCCGCAGATTAATTTTAAGACTTACGTTTCTGCTCACTTTGTCTGATTCAGTAATCATGAATTGCAATTCGTCGCCTGAGTTACTCAGCAATGCAATGTCATCGGCGAAGCACACGTTACTAAGACACTTTTCATTAACTCCTATCAATAACTCTTTCTAATCTTGGCCTCTGTAAACCTCCTGTCGGGGAGCGTAGCATAATCTTGGAAGAATGCTAGCATCATCTTAGCCCATAAGAAAGGGGACGACAAGGACCTAAAGAATTACAGGGCGATCAGCTTGCTCCCCGTCGTATACAAGGTATTCACAATGGTAATTGCTAACAAAACTATGACAACATTACAATTCAATCAAGCAAAATATCAAGCACTATTTCGAAAAGGCTACTCAACAATATACCACATTCATACTATTGATAAGGTGATAGAAAAATGCTCAGAATACACCCAACCACTGTACATAGCCTTCACAAACTACGAGATGGCATTTGATTCAGTAGATATATCAGCAGTCATGCAGGCACTCGGAAATCAGGGCGTCAACGAAACATATGTAAACATCCTGGAACAAATCTACAGGACCAACTGTCACCATAGTACTCCATAAACAAAGCGACATAATACCAGAAGGTTGTAAGACAAGGGGATATGAACTGGCCTCCCTAATGATATTTACCGCGTGCTCACAGGGTATTTACCGTACTTAAGCACATATCATCAGCACTTTCAGACTGATAGTTGGTCAGTAAGCGCAGACATTGTTTAATTGTTAGGTAATATCGGCTAGCATTCGTTTGAACTTATCCGATAACGTACCATCAGTATAAAATGAAAGCAACATTGATGTTGTATTAACGTATGTTTTACGTAATCTAAAAACTTTGCTGGCAGAATGATTTGGGCTGAACGACTATTGTTGATTCTTTTGTTTTGTTTTGTTATTGTTTACTATTCTCCTCGTGAGTTTTTTTACTGTTTCTGTCATTGCCCCTGAGCTTATGTGCGTGTGGATGAACTTCTGTGAGGCAGAGCCATTATGCCTTTCTCCAAGAAAGTGCACGTCTAAATAACATTGAGAAAAAAAGCACAAACGTGCACATTGTACGTGTAACCTTCTCACCTTGACGTGTCCAATCTGGCGGATGAAGCGGAAGCTGAAGAAGTAGGCGAATATCTCCGACACGTGGTTGATCACGGAGGCCACACCGAAGAGCGTGGGCGTGCCGCCCAGGTCTTGCAGGTGCCAGAAGAGGAAGGTGAACACGAGACCGATGCCGAAGCCCATGAACCACGTGACTACGAGGAAGGCGCCGTACCGCACCGTCGCGAACGAACGAAGCACGGCGAACCACTCCGGCAGCTTGCGTGTGGTCTGAGCAAACACCGTGCTCTAAAGGGAGACAAATGAAGGACGTAAAAAAAAGCTATTTATCCCTCATTATCAGAGAATGTCGGAACACTGCTGTAAATTTCGCGCATGATTTAGAGCTACTGCGAGTTTTAGAAAGCGACAGGGCAGTGATGCTTCATAGTCATTGCAATGTAAACATCTGCAACAGGTTATCCAGTTCATGGTTATTATTTTATGATCAGCTGTAGTTATGTTGGAGTGATAAATATTCAAGCGCACTCTTTGTCAACACAATATTGTGTCCAGGCTGGTTTCTCTAAATTTAGGTGCTCATTAAAGAACCCCAAGTGACCAAAATTTCCGGAGTCCTCTACTACGGCGTCTTCATAATTATATGGTGGTTTTGAGACGTTACACCTCAACAAATACTTAAAGAAATAATTAATCATTAATACTTCCAGCATGGTATAGATGGCTTGCAGTGACGTCACTAAAATAGTCACACTGTAGCATTAGGGGACGTGAATTCTGTGACGTCACGTTAGTGCAGGGACGAATCCAGCCACTTATTTTAGAGACTGGATTCGCATGTGCCGAAATAGCATGTGCCACTGAGACATCTTACAAAAATGAAAATACACAGCATGCTCTTTGCTATAGCGTGCATTTAAAAAACAATTATGCATTTATTTCGTATGCATAGTCCAAATTCCGGATCAACATCCATAGATGGTGCGAAGTATAACTGCCGTTCGACATCTACGCATACTGTTTTTCCTTGTCGGTAGACACTTTTTTTATACTTGGTATCAATCCTTTTAAACACACACAAACCGGAACAGAAAGAAAATACACGAAAGGAAACAGCTATTTGTTTCAGTGAGTGCATATTCTGCACAAGCCTTATATTACGAATGAGAATGATAAACCCACAGGTAGAGTCAATCGCCGCCCCCATTCGCCAATCGCTTGGCCACAGGCCCCCGTTACTACAACTCCCACCACCACCGCAAACTTACTACTCTGGAATGAACACGTGCAAGCGGTGACTGACCTTGGTCTCCGGTTTCTCTTCCTGCTTGGGCGGCTGTCTCGCCTGTGGTATGCCCGGTGCAATGTCCTCGATGGTAATGGGCTTGCTCGCGTCACTGTTCATCACCACCTGCTTCATGACGATGTTGTCGTCCGGCCCGGGCAAGTCGGGCTCGTAATCGAACTTGAGCTGCGTGGCCGATATGAAGGCGCAGCCCATGAGCACCGAGAAGGTGGCGAAGCAGATGGTGTAGTTGCGCTCCTTCTCGTACGGACCGCACGGGTGGTTCGGAAAAGAGGTAGAATGGTCGAGCGCAATGCCCACGAAGAACATGGCCACGCCCCAGCCGAGCGATCCGAACATGCGCTGGCGACCGTAGTTGTCGGTGTTTTCTCCGAGGTGTGAGAGGGTCGCCGCGTCGGCCAGCGTAATGGCCGGGGCGCTGAAGTACTCGCCAAGCACGATGAGCAGCAGCAGGAGGAAGAAGACCTCCTGCACGTCTTCGTACTTGTACACGATCGAGCTGAAGGGAGGCGAGATGTAGGACGTGTGCCGCTCCTGGTTGTAGTTGAGTGTGTACTCGACAGTGTTGGGTGACTTGCCGACGACGTAGTTGGGAGGAAGCTGCTTGGCCTTGCTTCGCCCTCTCTCCACCTGAGGCAGCGAGGGTGCCTCGGTGCTCTGTACCCTCTTGTCCCGTGGCTCCGGAAAGGAATCGAGATGCTGCGGCAGTAGTTCTTCTTCAGCCGCGACGTCCATCCAGAGGTTCTCCTGAATCGCAGACACGCTCCGGCGGTAGCGGTCGTTGCCGCCTGTGTCGGGGGAGTACAGGACGTGATGAGTGTCGTTGTAGTCGATACACGAAGCGGCAGGAGGCTGCACGAACGCCAGCGAAAGCGTGAACACGATCCAGCAGGCGAGCGAGCCGAGGAGAATCGCTTTGCCCTTCTTGAAGCGGTCTGCCACGCCACCCCACATAGGGGCGCTGATGAATTCGACCAAGGGCCGAATGCCGATGAGCAAACCACTCTGCGTGGCGTTCATGCCCATTTGCTTGAAGTAGACGGCTAGCAGCGGAAAGAGGGAGCCGAACGCGGAGAAGAAAAAGAAGTAGAACGTCTTGGAGACGAGGAGGTCCTGGTTTATGCTCGTCAAAAAACCCTCGACGAAGTTCTGCGGTGGGTGGAACGGCGGCGGTGGTTGTTCTGGCGGTGGCTGTTGCCTTTGGTAACTTTGGGTATTCGACACAGTTCTTTCAGAATTCCCGGGCGCCCCCGACAATGGTCCTCTGTTGGCACCTCCGCCATTTTCATCGTCGAAGCTTTTCATCCTAACCATTGAAGCACACACTGTTAAAACGTCCCTTGCAGCCGAGTTACTATCACTTGAAGAGTTCTGTAACGCGTTAGTGATAGAAACGTATCAATGTAGTTGCACTATGACCACGGAACACAGTTGACATTTTGGTCGAACGTCGAGCTACCTAGGAAAACAAAAGGTACGAAAAGTCATCATTACTACGGTAAGTCAAACTCCTGTCGTAAAACATGAGCAGCTCACTCAGCCACCAGCGTCTATAAACGTTTTGCATGTAGTGTGTCATGTGTGGTGTACCGCTCGAGGGTCCACTCAGCCCAGCTCATATGAAGACCTTTTTACTTCCCACGAGTATGATAAGCTGGCTGCTGCACTTCATTATTTATAACGGCGAATGGAAATGACTCTCGAGTGAATGGTTCAGCGCAGATCACCCTGAGGATGCACAATTCCTGCGAATGATAGAAGTTGATAACTTTGCGGGTTGGCACGAAAAACCTTAGTCCCGAACTTCGAATCAAGCTAACACATGTCATGTAGTAGGGGGTCGTACGATACTGTTGGTGTTTCAATACTGTGACAATTGGGGAAAAAGTTACGTGCACTAACTCAAGAAGTTTATTGATGCGACAGTGTGGAGCAAGGCTTTCTGGAAACCTCGTCACCTACTGCAGCGACAATCTACGTGAACTATCATGAGAAAAAGTGCTTAGCGCTGTGAACGAGAAACAGTGGATATGGATTTGCATTTAAAGTTAGAGCTCTCTTTGAACACGATTCCGCTATACACGACCTGTAGCGTTACACAAAAGCTAACGTACGAATGTCAGTGTAGAAGGATGAATAACTGTAAAGGAAGGGGTACAATGAAGGACAAACAGCTAACAAAGCGAGATGGCAAACGCAGGGCTCTGACTTTCTCGATGACGAGGCCCTTTGGTCTAGTTGATTAAGTGCGACACCTCCCGCTGTGTGTTTCTCGTCCATGCCTGCTAGCGCTGCCGAACCTTTTGACTTCTTTTCCTAACTAGCGCACACTTCGGCTGCTACGATGCTACGAGAGCTGTCTTGAGAGTCAGGTTGCCACGGCCGTTCTCGCATAGCGTTCAAACCACACGACCTCGAAGGGTTCTCTCTCGCGCCTCCTCTGATGCTCAAAAATGTGTTTTCCGGACCCAGATTAGATGCAGCATCGCGCGAACAGGCGTGCTCACACAGCGTCATTGGCTGTTCGGAGAAGGCGGGGGGGGGGGGGGAGAGACGGCAATGGCGCTCGCCTGAGCACTGGCGAGGGAAGGGAAGACAGGTGCCCTCGCAAAGAGCTCACGATCGAACCTTGGGTTGTCAATTATTTATTGAGAAACGACAGTATGCCAGACAGAGTGGCCACCACCAGCCGATCGGACTTTGTTCTGTCACTTCCAACCGGCACACGCCGTGAAATGAGTGTCGAGCCCGGTAAAGAGGAGATCGAGATGCAGTGACTTGCAAAAAAAAAAAAAATGACAGAAAGAGGAGGAGGGAAAAATAAGAGCTCAGCAATGGCGCGCTCGAGGCCGGTTTTTGATAAAGACATGTGGCTAGCAGTTTCAGGTTCTTTAAAACAGCTCTGACTCGTGTACACTCTACGGTCGCTAAAAACAACAGCCGAGAAATCGCTGATACCAATGCGTGGTTCTTTGTTCTAGGGCAACCTATATTGGTCCAAGATATCTTGATTAGCCGCTAAGTACAACGGTAGCCACCCTATCTACTACCTCTGGTTCTACCCAGACGTTGTTATTGACTAGTTCTACCTAAATTACAAAAATTACAAAAAAATTCATGTACTCTCCCGTTTCCGAACGCTGCGGTGTTTGCTCAATAAAGAAGAGTTACAGTGAGAAGGAAGAACTAACTCATCACTCATTACGCCCCGCCCGGCCGATGATTTTCAAGCAAATTGCTCACATTAGGTCGTCGTAGCTGAACTTCATACCGGGATTCTCTCCCTCTCGCACTTTTCTTTTTCGTTTCTTGAAAAATCTTTTTTTTTTCAATTCAAGGTCATGCGCACGTCCCACGGTTTGTGCTGTTGCGTGTTCCCTCAATGCCTCAAGCTGAAGTTGCACGATAATTAACACTTTCCTGTAGCTAGAGCTCGGATGAAATATGTTACTACAAATATTCTACACTATGAGCGTTAAACTACATCGGTGATAATTTCAAGATATCAACCACCGACAAGGCATCCCCGAAACCCGAAAGCTCTCTGAAGTGGGACGAAGTAATCGTTTGGCTCAAGATGATAACGTGTTTTCGTCATCACTCTAGGACATCAATACTTTATTTCGTACACTTTGGGAGCATAGTGCTCGCGACAATTGGAGGGCAAGCGGGAAACGTAGTGGAGAGGGGGACAGAAAGAGAGCGGGAGGGATAGGTAGCCGTACTTGCGCCCTTTCGAGAAAAGCCCATTACGGGCCGGAGGAACGGTGAAGCGAAACCTTACCAGCGTAGCGGGCGGCAGGCCCGTCCGTGCCGCGACTCGCCGCAATATCCTCCCGATCTCGAAAGAAGACGTACCGCGGGGGAGACGGGTCGAGGCCAGCAGTAGCAGCAAGCACCGGGGCTGCCTTGAGAGGAAACGGCGGCGCCTGGGCGCTCGGACCGCAAACCCTGGGAGCGAGAATCGCCGTGTGCGCATGCGTCGGCTCTACTTTTTCCGCGGTGGGGCATCGCGTTCGACTGCGTGGCGCGGTCGAAGACGAGCGCCCGTGCGAGCACCGCACCGCACGATAGGCCGATTTTCACCTTGATTCGTGCGAGTCGGGACGGCTGTCAGTTTCGGGGTTTGGCATTTGCGAAACGGGTGCGGCGTCAGGTATCGCGAGGTAAACCACTGGTGATGCAAGTAATAATACTAATAATTCGTGACGGGTTATGTCCCCAAACCACCACATGATTATGAAAGATGCCGTGGCCAAGGGCCCCGAAAATGTTTACCACATAGGTTCTTGAACGTGCGTGTACATCTAAGAAGGCGGGTGTAGTATTTTTCCTCCATGAAAGTCAAGCCACCGCCGCCTGGATTCAATCCTGCTACCTGGATGACGTGAATAAGCGGTGAAAAATGCTATCTTCTGGAAATGTTTATGGGGTATACGTAGATGATACATCAATTTTTTTAGATATTAACTAGAAGTTGTTAGCCTTGTGCATCACCTGTTTGCTACTTCACGTGTCGGGTGTAGACGGCGGTGTATGCAGCTATCAAATATACACACTGAGAACGCGTTCAGTCATGCACACACATACACACAGTGGTTATTCATAAAGCTTCTTTATGGTTTATAGTGCTTAAACACGATGAGAGTGCTTTGTATTGTGCGTCGCACAGACTTTTCCTTGTCATGGGCCGAGAAGGGGCCGCAGCTCCGAACTCAAGCCTCGTTGCAAATGTAACACCTCCTTAAACATCTGTCGCTGTGCGTAGTAAATGGGACGATCACGATTGATATGTGAAGTTTAACATTCTAAAACCACCACAGGATTATGACAGACGCCGTAGGGGATGGCTCCGGAAATTTCGACCTCCTCGTTTTTTTAACGTGCACCCAAATCTCAACACTTGGGCCTAAAGCATTTTCACCTCCCTCGTAAATGCAGCCGCGAAACCGGGTTTCTATCCCACGATCTGTGGGTCAGCAGCCGACTACCTTAGCCACTAGACCACCGCGGCGGGACCACAAAAATTGGTTTAAATTCTTCCAGAGTGTTACATGATATGCACGTAGGGTAGACTGACTTTTTGATATTGTGCGCCATGTAACTTTATGAGCAACGCCGAGTCTGAGCTTGTGAGTGGATGTTTCATCTTGTCTGGTCTATCGTTGTGGCACATTAAATATACACAGCGAACGTCCTTCCTGTTCGGAACCCGTTTTAAGCGGCTAAGGTGCCACACTGCGAAGCTAGAGTACCCACATTCCATTCCCGGACACAAAGGCAGCACTTGCGGTCATTGCGGCAGCGATGAAACTATAGAGTACGTTCTCTGTCACTGCCCTCGTTACAGCGTGCAAAGACGGCAACTAGCTGCTGCGTTAGCTCGCCTTGACGACAGACCTTTGTCTGAACAATCAGTGCTGGAAAGACGACATGATTTGTGTGCTCACAGAAAATCAGGGAAGGCCCTACTGAACTTTTTGCGTGGCAGCGGCCTATTGTATAGACTGTAGCACCCCAGCTCCCCCCCCCCTTTTTTTTTCGCGCGCGTCTATTTCCCTCTTCGCTTTCTTTCCAATCTTTCTTCCCCATTCCCCCTTCCCCTAGTGCAGGGTAGCAAACCGGATGCTCCATTTTCTGGTTAACCTCCCTGCCTTTCCCTCATTTTTTTCTCTCTCTGTATAGGAGCAAAATGCAATACACACTTGTATACAATTACACTGACTTGTCTCATGTGTGCTTTTCTTTTGTGCGTACGTAACTCGTCGCGCTATCATTGTACGATGAACACACATTTTGACATCCGTCGAAAAATCCGGGAGGTGGGTGAGAAGCCGATATCAACCTAGTGTCGCCCACTACGGAGTGCTTTATGCTCGTGTTGTCGTTTTGCACAGGATACGTCAGCATTGTTTATTTGTATTTTTATTTGTCTGTGATAAGCTATGCGTTAAGAATGTAATTTAGTAGCAACGGAACTGTCTGATGGGCTGCACTGTTAGGAACTCAAGACTTTGTAGGTTAAAAAAATTGACACCCGGCACAGCTCGAAGTAATGCACCCCATAGAAAATAACATGCGCACAACATCAACGAACAACAAAAATCAAAAGTTTCGTGAGGATGAGACGCTTTTATACACGTGCCCAGTAACAGAGGCAACGCTAAAGGCATGGCGAACGCGGCAAACACGTACGTCGGTATTCGGTAACCTGGTCGCTGGAGGAACGTGCTATCTTTAATATATGAATCATCGAGAATTCTAGCTTTATCGGTGGAGCTTGCGTTAACTTAAAAACAAACTCCGCTGCTCGCATTGTGTGCATAGTCTTATAAAAACTGTCCAAAACATTTTCGAAGTTTTTCCCAACAGCACGGTACGGCCTGCTC